GTGTTTTTATATTTTTTTTTATTTTTGTGTCTGTGTACACGATAAGTAGTTGAAATAATACTTCGATTTTCGACTTCAGTATCTTGTTCGATTGGAAAGTGAATATCGCTGGTGCATTGGGGAGGTCAAAATTTAAAATTCCCAGTACTTTTCAAAAGCCCCAAGAAAAACAAAAGAAAAATTAAGGAAAAACGGGAATTTTTAATTGAATTTGGTTTTTGGTGTAACTTTAAAACAAATGACCGTAGATACATGACATTTTCACTGGTTGTATATGTTTGCATTTTCTATACACTATAACATTTTGATTTATTTTGAACTGTTTAGGGATATTGAGGGGCTATAAAATCCAGGAAAGTTATTTACAGGAATGACAACAACGGGAAAGTAAAATATAGGAAAATAATACGAGGGAACAATAATTCGTAGGAAAATAAAAATCAGGAAAATATATGTACGGAAATAAATAACAGGAAAAATAATTTGTTGGAAAATAATAACCAGGAAAATATTACAATTGAAAAACTTTACTGGTAAATTATAAATCAGGAAAATATAATTCAGGAAATTATTTCGTAGGAATTTAAAACACAGGAAAATAAAAAACGGGAAAATAATTTATAGGAATTTAAAAATCAGGAAAATATTTATACCGGAAAATAATACCCAGGAATTTCAAAACCGGGAAATATCAGTGAAGTAGGAGTACTGTATAGGCAATTTCTTGATACATTTGTATTTTATACTACGTGATTAGATGTACCTATTTATCATTATGTAATATTATGTATCACAAGGGGGGTTCAACCCCTCCCTTGGACACTTTATAAATATAATAATATATTATGTACTTAATAATAATTATAATAATTTATTGGGAAAAAATCTAGTTCAGTGTCCACTCGAATTTTAGATTCTGAGTGAAACGATGAATGTATTGATTTTAAGTCTCTTCAAAGGCAGATGAAAAATATTAAAAATCCTTAGTCACAGTTTTTTTTTTATAAGCATTTAAAGTTCAAAAATTAACAAAATATGGAAAAATCAAGAAAACTAGCAAATTATTTTGAGTTAAGAATTCGTAAAAATTTTTCTTTTTAAATCTAAGGTTTTAAAATGTAATACAAGATTCCTTATAATATTATCTACCTTTATCAAAAAACAAATGTCTATAAGAAAGTCAAATTACATTTTTATGACCTTTTTAAATTCAAATTTTTACAACATTAGATATTCACTCGATTTCTCATGTAGCGATTTCCTTATTTTGTTGTAATTCAAAAACGAATAACTGTAGATACCTACATGAACATTTCACTGAATGTTCATATTAGAATTTCCTATACACCATACAATTTTGAAAATATTTTGACTCTTTTTGAGCTGTTTACGGATATTACATTTTACTTTCAAATTTAATAGCATCCATTATACAGTGACCCACTTGTAACCTACTGTACAGCAGAGCGACATCCACTTACCCACCTTTTTATATCTAAGGATTGAAAATTTAAAAAAAGATTCCACGTAAGTAGTGTATTCAGTTACCAAAAAATCTAAACCATATATAAGCACAGTTTATTTTTATAGTCATTTTAAGTTCAAATTTGGACGAAATTAACTAGAATAACTATTTTAGTTATTTTGTTGTGATTGTATAATATTATTTAAAACTTGGTATTTGAAATTTCTAAAGTACCTACACAATTGTATATCTATGATAGTATCAGGGTTTGTTGTTGATGTATAACGCGTTATAAGTACCTAATGGATATTGTGATATGATTAATTTGGAATTTATTATAGGTCAATTTTTTTAATACCATAGATAAATATAATATAATATGTCTTATACCTAGACTGATATATCGTCTCCGCTCAGAATCGTTTTTCTTATACAATGATATTTTATCATTGAATTCAAATTTAATAGCATCCATTATACAGTGACCCACTTGTAACCTACTGTACAGCAGAGCACCTTTTTCAATTTTATTTTGTTTTAGTACGTTCCTATGTAGTTAAGCATGCTGAAAACGATAGGGAAGTCTAAATTTGGTGGACAGAATTAGTTTAAAGTTATAGCTAGGTAATTGAAATTTTTGGTATTTTCATATACATCTGGTGTGGTCCCTCGCTCTTTGCGATCGCTCGGACAATTAACTTCTAAACATCCCGCGCATGGGCGTCCCCAGGGGGGGACAAGACGGGGCACTTGTCCCCCCCTGGAATAATGTTATTTCCACAGAAATTGGTAAAATTCCAAATGATAAATTAGTTTCTAAAAATAGGTCTACTAAGTTTCCATAACATATTATGTCAAGCGTTATTTTTTCATTGTTCTAATCACAGGTTAAATTTAGTTATAAATGATTCAAATAAAATAATGATTATTCGTAATACTACTGGAACTATAAAAAATATTACATGATTTTTCCGTGAAAGTACGCTTAGAAGAAAACTTATCCCTAACATACCTACCACTATTTTGTGAAACACGCTGGTCGTCTAAATATAAGAGTATAAGAGTATTTTCAAAACATTTTATTTCAATAATGACAAGTTTGAAATCATTATCAAATAATGAAGTACATTCAAATTCCAATACAAGGCAACGAGCTCATTACTTATATTCTGCGGCCTCAAATTCATCATTATTAATTTCTATGATTATTATGGCAAAATACAGTGCTATTTTAGAACCTGTGACAAATATGTTACAAGGCGTCTCAACTCTCGGTAGATCTAATAAAGTCAGATAGATAAAGTCAGCGAGCATTATTAATTTATTACTAATATTGTTCGATATGAGTATATGACGCTGATAACATTTTCCAAACATTATTTAACGAAGCGAAATCAATCGCCATTGATTTAGATATTGTCATTACACATTCAAGAACGGTAAAGAAACAGTCACTAAGAGCGAACTATGAAACTGAGAGTTGTGAAGATTATTACCGAGTTTCAATTTTTATACCATATATTGATTCAATTTTACAATATATAAAAGAACGTTTTGATATAAAAAATGATAATACATTTTTACTACAATATCTTCACCCCAACATTTTTAAAAAATTGGAGAAAAAAATGTATTTTGAAAGCATTGAAAAAATTGCTGATTTCTATAAAATTGATAATCTCCAAGCTGAAGCGGGAAGTTGGTACAGTTTTTGGCAAAATAAGGACTGCCAAGATATTGATTTTATCAATTTGTTAAACTGTAACTGTAAGTACGTTTTTTCCTAATATAGCTGTTGCTTTGGAAATATTTTTGTCTCTTCCGGCTACAAGCTGTACAGGAGAACGTTCTTTTAATACATTAAGGCGCAGGGACGGATCCAGGGGGGGGGCCTAGGGGCCTAGGCCCCCTCCCAGACATATTTAAGACATATTTTTTTATAATTCTACAGATCCTGATATTACTATATTTAAAATCACATAATATATTATATTATTATGTCTGATAATATAATATATTATTTAATATTATTATACGTAATATCTACTATCTTAGTTCATGGTGGACAGTGATTCCAATATTGTAATTTTACAATTACGTGTTAATTGATAACACCACAAGAGTGCGCCATATCACCACCAAAGTTTGTCCCCGGACAATCAAAATAATATATTGAGTTTGATTAAACTATTATGGTACTATAATTAGAACAGGCATAATAAAACAATTTCTATTATATTAATATGTTTATGATAGTATGATTAGAACTGTGTTATTATGATAAGTATATTTTACTAACTACAGTCTACATTGGTCATTGATCATTGATTATACTAAGTCGAATTCGAAAAGTTATTCTATTCTTCATGACTATTGTCCACTGTCGCAGTTTAACCGTTTTGTGTTTTTGATTTTGGTTTAACTATTAAAATTCAACGAGTTCAACATAATATTTTGATATGTCAGAACCGCCTAAGAAAAAGGCTCGTGCTATTACTTCGTATTTTGTGAATCTGGTATGTACATTTTAAAATTAGTGACCACCAACCTGGTCATGGATAAATAATAATATTAAAACTTTAAAAAAAATAGTAATTGGTTGTATTATAATTTATTAATACTTAAACAGGAAAAATGTAAATCTTCAATTGAAGAATTAGTGGATGATCCAACAGCATTAGAATTTAAAAATAAGGAAGTTGAGACTGATAATTACATTCATGTTGAGCCTGCCATTGAGGTAATAGATAAATATATTTATATTTTTGTATTAGTTAAAACTTATAATGATACTCATGTCTCATTTGTGTATTTTTTACACAATGATCATAGCAATTTAATAGGTTCAATTAAGTTTACAACTCTGGGAATATATACAATCAGTTAAAAATATATTTTCTTTATTCTTCATGGTTTTAATTTTTAATTAACTAATAAAATATTAGTTGACTACTAACCTGGTCATAGATAAATAATAATATTATAGGTTTAAAAAATTTGTTGTATTATAATTTATTAATACTTAAACAGGAAAAATGTAAATCTTCAATTGAAGAATTAGAGGATGATCTAACACCATCAGAATTTAAAAATAAAGAAGTTGAGACTGAGAATTGCATTCATGTTGATCCTGTCATTGAGGTAATAGAAAAATATATTTATATTTATTCTTCATGGTTTTTATTTTAATTAACTAATAAAATATTGTAAATTAGGAAATAAAAATTATTTAGTAGTATTTTACTATATGATTAATTTACATATATTTTTCCTTTTTTTTCAGCATATAGTAAGTTCACATTCAAGCTCAGCTTCCCAGGTTACTGTATCAACTGAAACTATTTTTCATAGTCCAGACATTGGGAACTTTGTTAACATAAATATTATTGATGATAACACCAAACATGCTCTATTGACCAATCATTGGATACCTCCAAACAATTACATATTTCCATATTCAATTCAAATGCGCAATGGAAAAGAAAAAAAAAGAAGTGTAACCTTCAATCATTTAAATATGTTCCATTGGCTTGTTATGTCAGATGTTAGCAAAGGTTTGTATTGCAAATATTGTCTTTTATTTGCACCTGCAACCAAAAGTAATGTGACACTTAAAACATTAGTCAAAACTCCATTACTTAAATTTTCTAAGCTAACTGGTAAAGACGGATGTTTAACTGTCCATTCTCTCAATAAGTACCATTTGGAATCGGTTTTGTCAGGGAATGCATTTTTAAAATCATACCGAGATCCAAGTTTTAGTATAATTAATCAAGTTAATTTACAAAGATTAAAGCAAATAAACGAGAACCGAGAGAGAATCAAACCTATCATTGAAACATTAATACTATGTGGACGACAGAACATTGCCCTTAGAGGAGCTGTTGATGATGGTTCGTTATTAATTAATGATACTTCAAATTCATTAGTAGCAAATCCAGGTAACTTCAGAGAATTATTAAAGTTTAAAATAAATTCAGGAGATCAAAAGTTGAAAAATCATCTTGATACTACATCATCTCGGGCTACCTATATAAGTAAGACTGCTCAAAATGAGCTCCTTAATTGTATAGGCGAAGAAATTCAGTTACAAATTATTAAAGATATTAACGAAGCAAAGTTTTATGCAGTGATATTTGATGAAACTACTGACATAGCCCATAGAGAACAGCTTAGTCTATCTATAAGATACGTTTTAAACAATAAAATAAATGAAAAGTTTTTAACTTTTGTTGATGCTTATCAATCTATCCTTGAAGAAGACATTATGTCATCTGGTGAAACAAAACTTACTGGTCAAGCTCTAGGAAATATAGTACTGAACATTTTAAAACAATTTCATTTAAATGTGAAAAACTGTGTTGGCATCGGTACAGATGGATGTGCAGTTATGACATCAAAAAGTATTGGAGCAGTCACTACAATTTTAAAAGAATGTTTTTACGCAGTTCGGTGCCCATGTTTTAATCATGCACTAAATAACTCACTGGCTCAGTCATCAAAAGTGGTCTCAATTCGCAATACGGTTGGTTGTTTGAAGGAAATAGTAGCTTTTTTTAATGGATCAGCTAAAAGGACTGCTATACTTAAAAATAAATTAGGAAAAAGTTTATCTGGATTATGTCAAACTAGATGGATTGAACAACATGATGGCATATTACAGTTCAAATCAACTCTCCCGAAAGTAATTATGATAAATTAATAATTATAAAATTGTATTTTATAAAACATTGAAACAGCTCAATTGTTTAAAATTTAATTTCAGATTTTAGAAGCTCTTGCTGATATTAAGTTATGGACTGATAAAAATTCTTCAACTAAAGCAAATACACTTGAATTATCTATATGTAATAGTTCATTTATTATTTCACTTTATTCACTCATTGATGTACTCAAATGGACACTTCCAGTTAGTCGTATACTGCAATCTACATCACTTGATTTGGAAAGTGCAAATTTTGTTATTCAAGGAGTTAAAGAAGTGTTAAACGAGAACCGAACCAATTCACATAATGTTTTTAAAGATATTTTTATTGAATCTTCTAATATGGCTAAAAGTTTAGGATTTGATATACAATTACCACGTACATCCAAAACACAGATGAATAGAGCCAATTACCCTACTCAAAATGCAGAGGATTATTATCGCTGGTCAATTTATATACCATTATTAGAAGGTGTTCTTGGGGATATGAATACTCGTTTCTGTCCAGATGTAATTGGTGCATTTAATTTAAGACTGTTAATCCCTAAAGTATTTCGTGGAAAAGACAACAATACTTTGAGTGTAAAAATACTTGAAGCAAGTAAAAGATTTTTTCCTCTGCTATCATCGGGATCAAATAATACAGCTGATTTACACTTACAAGGTATTTTTTTAAAAATGAATTTGTTAAAATATGTTTAATTCATTTATAATCAATAAAAAAATTCTTATTATTTCAGGTGAACTTGAACTTTGGTTTAAGTTTTGGAATAAAAATATTGGTGTGTGGAGTGAAGATCAATTTCCATCAACAGCAATAGATGCTTTGGGTAAATGTGATCCAAATATATTTCCTACAGTATATCAGCTTCTAAGTATAGTTTGTACGTTACCAATGAGTGTAGCTACAGCAGAACGAAGTTTCTCTACCTTGAGACGGGTAAAAACCTGGCTACGCTCTAGAATGCAGGAGGATCGCCTAACTTCGTTATGTTTACTAAATGTTCATAGGGAAGTTGAAATAAGCATTGACCAAATAATTGACAGATTTGGAAAAAGTGACAATGTAAAAAGGCGTTTAGACTTTGTTATTTAATATATAAATAATATTTTATTTATCACATTGATGCCTACTATTATAACAAAATTGTTAAATTAAGAATAAAGGATAATAATTTATTATAATTGTATTTTTGTTGTAAAAAAATTGTTGGGGCCCCCCCCAGATCTTTGCTCTGGATCCGTGCCTGTTAAGGCGTGTTAAAACATGGTTACGATCAACGATGGGTGATGTTAGACTGAATGGAATATGCATGTTGAGTGTTCATACTTCATAGAGAAAAAGTAAATTCAAATAAAGAAAAATTTATTGAAAATGCACTGACACAATTTGGTAGAGAATGTCCACGGAGATTGAAATTTATATTTAATGAAAAAGAATGATGTATAATAATATTTTTTAATGTTTTAATTGTAATAATAATACTTACCTAATTGTAATGTTTTAATTCATAATTTTAATAATGACGAAATATAATAATTTAGTGGCATTTACTATAAATAAAATGTATAGAAAAATTTTCATTTATTTTTTAAATTAATTTTGCCCCCCCCCCCTAGAAAAATGTCTGGGGACGCCCATGATCCCTCGACTTGTTATATAAAACCACTATGGGTGTGTCAAAATTATTTTTGCCAAAAAAATTTTTAAAACCATTATTTAGCTAGGTTTCAAAAAAAAAAAAAATTAAATTTCGTTATATCTAAGCGTTGTAGGTACGTATGTGCGCAAAACACCGATAATCGTGAACTTCGTTTACGGAGGCTACACCATAAGACTACACCATAAAAACTAATTATTTCTGGCAATTAATGTAAGCACCGTCGTTCTTAACTGGTTTAATGCATAGATGTCGGACAAACAAATTTAAAAATTGTGGGTGCTATACTAGATTTAGAACACTAAATTGAACTACCCCCCCCCCCCCCCCCATCCAAAATTCCTAAGCACGCCACTGATGTATCATACTATATTACTATCATCTATCTGTAATCTGTATCAGATTATTATTAACCATTCAAAAAAAAAAAATAGTATCTATATCCGTGTTTCGCGAAGTAATTCATATCTATTTTTAAAGTATGATTTCCAATATTTTGTTTATTTTTGTTATTATGATGAACATGAATAGACATGCATGAACAATATATTATAATAATAGTACAAGGGGGGTATTAAACTAAGGTTAAGAATAAATAATAATAGTATAACACACAAATTCACGATTATCATAAACGTCAAGAGTGCAAGACAGAAGACACGTCGTGTAGTATTTTCAATTTTGTACTTGACTCGTTTATAACTTGTTCTTAACTTTTTTATAACTTAGTAAGACTCGTAAGTTGTATACCTATTTGTATTTACTTGTAAGTTATTGAAGTGGCATTTAAAATAACATTCATCAATCAATTGAAGTCTTAATACTCATTTTCACAATGAATCCAATAGAGCATGATGATTTTCGTTATAAGTACAATGGCGGTGTTAAAAATGGTGTTCGGTAAGTTTATTTTACTAATATTACTACCTACTTACTAGATTACCTATTACTTATTACTTATTAGATATTATTTGAAATGTAATATAAAAACAATTTCAGTTTTGACTATTGAATTTTCTAAATAAAGAAATCAATACATGTATCTAGGTGCTTAAGAACTATTTTTTAAGTCACTTACGATACACTAATCTGTACAACATATTTACAATTTTTAAATCCACCAGTCAATAATTATATAATAAATAGATTATACTAGGTACAATAGGTACCATATTATGATTTTTTCAACATAGGTTTGCATGCATATTTTGATTTAAGAAACGCATATTTTGTTAATATAATTAAATTCAAATTTGAATATTTTGTGTTTTTATTATGCAAAAAACTGAACCTTAAAATACTTTTTAGTAGGTGCATTTAAAATGATATAGGCGCCTGCTATTTAATACTGTATAATATATTACACAACATAGGGTGGAGTCGACCCCTTAAGAATTTTTTTTAATTTAATTTATTCTATCTACGGTCATTGAAAAATATTGAAAATTGAACCATAAATTCAGAAGTTCACTATAATAATTGGCTTAAATTTCAAAGTCTTAAGAACATTGTATGAGACATTTTTATTAATATTTTAAAATTGCATTTTTCCCTTATATGGCCACTGTAAAAATATTAATTGTTATTTTATTAAAAAATTAATTATTAATACATATATAACAGGAACTTTTATTTTCCAAAAACAAATTATGAAAATAAAAACAAACTAGTTATTTATGAGTATCTACCTATACTTAACATTTTGATAACTTATAAAAAAATTTTAATCCAATATTAAATATCTGAACAAATATATAAATAAAATGACCAATTTTTTAACAAAATTATTATGAAAACTAATACAAATTCAATATGATCTCCATCAGAATATTATGTACAGCATTTTTTTTTTACCTACAGGCTTACATTTTACTAGTACATAGTCACCAGATTTTAAGTCTTGCTGCAAATTAAAAACAACTAAATATGTGGATTACACTGAATTTAACTTACTTCAATGTACAGAAACAAACATAAATTTATAATTCCAACTAACCTTTTTTTATATTATGAATTTTAAAATGTAATTTGTTAATAATTGTTTATTATTTGTTTATATTGTTAGTTATTTGGTATGCAGTAATCAGTTTTGTAAAGGTACAGCAAAACGTTTATCTGATGGCACAATCAAAGCCCAAATAGGGCATTCACACGTGGCAAACATCGCTGAAAATGAGATTGGTGATCTAATAAAACAGTTTAGATCTACCTTAATACTACGATCTGTCAATGAAACCACGAAATTAAAAATTATATATGATGAGGAATCAATCAGGTAACCCCATTTTCATTTACCTTAGTTCAAAAATGTATTATTGCTGCGATAAATAATCATTACATAGTTCAATAATAGTTACTTGTTAAACAAAAATAATAGAATCATTAAAATAGATAGTTTAACCTCATTAATACATAAAATGCATTAAAAAAATCACTAAAATTTTGTTTTAATATAATTAAACTCAAATCAATACCGTAACTGCCAAATACACTAGTACCTATATTATAAAGGGCAATTCAAAAAATTCCATAAAATGGAGTTCTTTAAACATAGTTCCATTGATTATAAATACTATAAATTGCTCACGAAACCGAAACCAGTGATCAATCTATAGTATTTATAATCAATGATATTTCTACTCAATTATTTTGAATAAATTATCAAGTTTTAAATACCTAGTGATAATAGTGAGATGAGTCTCATAAAATAATTTATTAAATAGTTTTTAAGTATAATTTTTTTATAAAACTGTTTTATAATATGTAAACATAGTCAAGTTACCTGTTGATAATTTAGGTATTACAAATATTATTTAAAAAGTTATTTTTTTAATTATAATATGTTTGAAAAAAAATATTTTCAACAATAAATTATTTCGAGTTGTTTAAAATATAAATTACCTAATATGTTCTTTATTTGATCACTTGTCTAATGCATAATACCATTAGGTATAGCTTTATTGGTTTAGGAGGTTGATCCTCTAAACAATTGCTTGCCAATGTAAGATACAAATTACTTTAATGTTGTCATAATTATTATTATTATAAATTATAACTTATGTGTATAAAAAGTATACAAGCATTAAAAACTATTTTTAGTTATTAAACCAAAAAAGCTACTAGGCTACATGTCTGGAAATGGGTGTTCCAAATTAAGTTGGTCTGAAGGTTCAAGGAAGTTCTCTAAGCTTAACTGATTGTACCATAATTATATTGGATTATATTGGATATTTTTAATGTGAACTCAACAATTTTAATTCTATAACTTCCTTAGGCCCAGATGGATTATCACTTATTTGTCTTAACAAGGATATACTTATATATTATTTTTGGGAATCATATATTATATACTATAGTATACCTATACTGAAGTAGGTACAAATTACTATTTTAGATGTATTCGAGCTGCAGAACATTATTGTTGGCCAACAGCAGAAGCTTCAATGCGTCATGCTCGAAAAAAAATTGTGCCTGCTTTACCAATCAGCATTAATGCATTGGCAGATTATCTTGATCAAAACCCAGAGCGTTACACTTGTTGTGAACAAGCGTTTTATCAAGATCGAACTGTAGATAATGATGGTAAAACAACAATTATATTTGGATGTACATCACTTATCAGTGATGTTGTAAGTCAAGGAGGAAACGAAGTTCATGCTGATGCAACTTTTAAAGTTACACCAGCCACGCCACAGTCTCGACAACTTTTTATTCTGCACATAATTGTTCAAAATCATGTGAGTTTTAGTTATAATTGATTTGTATTTTAACTTTATGTAGGGGAAATAAATATGAATACCTAATTATAAAAATATTTTATTATTATTTCAGTCAATACCCATAATCTACGCATTGATGGAGTCCAAGACGGAAGCAGCATACACTTTATTGCTTACAAAATGTAAAGCTTTATTTCCTTCCATAATACCTAATTGTGTGATGACAGATTTTGAGACAGCTTTGCAAAATGCATTTTTAACTGTTTACCCTGAAACTGTTGCACATGGTTGCTGGTTTCACTATGTCCAGGTAGGTACTTGATAAATAATGTTTATTTGGATATATAAATATATGTGTGTATAATTACTATTAGATTCTGAGAGTAGCAATTAATGAATTGATTTTACAATGTATTTTTTTTTTCTGTGTCAGAAGGCTGTTTCAGGCAGAAAATGCTGTTATGATATTTTGTAAGAGGTTTCTTGCAAATTGAATCTATTTGGTACTTTTGGGAGGTTCAACTATTGAACATTTCACTTTTTAAATTAATCGGGAAAAAAAATACAAATATTTTTTTTAAAATAATTTTAATTGTAATATTAAATATAATAATTGTTTGGTAATATGGGTTACCAAAAAGTTAGACCGTCTTGCTTAGAAACGTTTTTCATTGTATCAATGATTTATTATTGAATTCAAATTTAACACTTCATCC